TCCAGAACACCAATAATAGCCTCCGAAATATGAATCATTATTCTCAAATATAGTGGGTTTATACACCAAACAAACTGACCACATCGTACCATAAAATAGAAAATAACATTTGTACAAGATTCAGCTAAATGTGGCTGTGAATAGGGGGAACAGTAATTAATGGACTAGAGATAACTCAAGAATGGTAAATCGTACAGTAATAGTTCATAGGTCAAAATGAAACTTATAATAAGAGGGACACGAATATGAATAATTAAGTTACTTAACAATTATACAATAGGAAATATACATATTACATTGGTCCATAAACAGTCCTCAAAGTTACCATTCATAAATCTCGAAGAACAATATTATCTTAGGTTTTCTAGGATTATAACAAAATAGCAACCATAATACTACTAATAATAGTATTCGTGATAATAATTTCTTGTGTTATTGACTCGGTCTAGTCAACTAACTGATCATTTTGTCTACGTTTTCTCTATCCATTCAAATATCTTTCGATAATCGTAAGTTATTTGAAGATCTACATTGTAATACTCAGTTACTAATGTCAAATAATCACTGCCAGAGCACTTAACCGATAGACCACTGAACTGACCGGCATCCGACGGTGTTAATGTATAACTTCAACCAATCCACGATGTGTTTTTTGAGCAACCGTTTACCAATTGTCTTCAGTGAGTTGATATCTCTACAGTAGTCTTGGTTGAACTCCACTGGTCACTGCTTCCCACTGGAACTCAAGGAAACATTCTTTACAGTCAGTCACTAGTGAGCATATGATTATAGATCAGAAGGGGTATTCTGTGGAGATTTCGGTATTTTCATAGTCGAAATCATTAGTCAATTGAAGCCAGACCACCATGGAAAACCTGGAAGCACTGGACGGCCGTTTCATCCTATTATGGGAATCCTCAGCAGTGAGCATCCACGATCCCGATAATTGTAAGTTATTTGGAGATGTACATTGGTAATACTCAGTTACTAATGTCAAATAGTCACTGATCAAATAATGTTTGACTTCAATAACTACATTTTTATGATATATGCAAATAATCAATGATTAGAATTTCAGCTAACCGACCTAAATAAGTAGTGTATATATCGATCTATTTAGGGAGCTGAAACGTGGAGAACTACTACATCCATCGTCAAAAAGGTACAAGTATTTATAAACAGTTGTCTATGAAAAATACTCAACATTCACTGACCGGATACTATCAGCAACAGTGTTTTATGGGAGATGATAAACCAGATTCCAGTTGAAGAGGAAACTGGGAAAAGATGTTGGAAGTGGATAGGACATACATTAAGGAAATCACCAATGTGCATTACAAGGCAATCCCTAACTTGAAATCCGGAAGGGAATTGGAAAAGAGGAAGGCCAAATAACACATTTCTCAGTGAAATAGAAGCAGATACGAAAAGGATGAATGTTAACTGGAAAGAACTGCAAAGAATTTTCCAGAACAGGGTTAGATGGGGAATGCTGGTTAGCGGCCTATGCTCCTCTACGAGGGGTAACAGGCGTAAGTAGGTAAGTAAGTAAGTAAGTATATCGATTGATTGTTATCCAATGAGATCGATGACCCTGCTGAATAATAACTTATCTTATTTTGACAGATTACGTAATGCAGAAATCAAGACTATCTTGTTTGCTTTTATTAAATTGATTTACACTACCACATCAAAGGGTAGCGTCCAAATAATATAGGAACAATGAATATAAGAAGGTTCTTATGGGTTCTCAAAAGTAGTGTAGTTCATTATTTGTATACATTCGAATAATTTTTCATTTTGCAAATTTAACCGATGGCAGGTTTAACTATGAAAATTTAGTATTAATATCACAATTTCAATACAGTTTTAGTGTTAGCATTAGATAATTACCTTTGAGTTTAAATGGTCAACTGATCAAAATATCCACTCATTATACTACTTATAAATAAATAACATTAAGCTTTATACTACTTAATTATTAAACTGAACAAAGTGACCTTACATTATTATTCGTACATTCAAGGGGAGATTACGATCGATGGTATGTATAGAATTACAATTTTTTGAACTTCATAGTTAAGAATATGAAGATTCTATGTGTACGTACTACTACTACTACTACTACTACTACTACTACTACTACTACTACTACTAGTAGTAGTAGTAGTAGTAGTAGTAGTAGTAGTAGTAGTAGTAGTAGTAGTAGTAGTAGTAGTAGTGGTAGTAGTGTGGCAGGTGCTACTGATGCTGACAGATATATGTAGTATGCATCACCAATCAAAAGTGGAATGTCTGGTGGCAGAAGGTTAAGAAGATCGAATAGAAGAGAACAAGAACAGAGATTGATTGGTACAGAAATGAAGGAACATGAAGGAACAATTTTTTGAACTTCATATGTGTTTAGTTTACTTCGTATGCAGTGAACGTTTGAGTGATGTCAATGAAATGCCGTCAGATCAATATTTGAGTATTTTGCAATTTAAACAATTCTCAGTACCTCTGGATGGTTTTCCATTGACTTGATGAGTGTAGTATTGTGATAAAGCATGACTACATATAATGTGGTGATATCGTTTTAATTATGAAACATATATGGTTGATTAGTTTCATCGATAAAACACAATAATGGTATAGTTGAAAGTTGTGAGATATCAACTCACTGAAGACAATTGATAAATGGTTGCTCAACTTAGTGGATTGGTTGAAGTTGGACATTAGCACCATCGGATGCCGGCTGGCACAGTGGTCTGTCGGTTAAGTGCTCTGGCGCGAGTCTGTTAGGTCCTGGGTTCGAATCTCGGGGGGCCATATCAAGAAATCGCACTGCTGAGGAGTCTCAAAATAGGACGAAACGGCCGGCCAGTACTTCCAGGCTTTCCATAGTGGTCTAGCTTCAATTCACTCACGCTTTTAACTATGAAAATACTAATTCTCCAGAAAACCCTTTCTGATAATAACAATAATGTTAGCAAGAGGAAACGGAATAATAAAAATGTAACAAAATTATCCTGGACCTAAGTTTTGCTTTTTTGACACAGGCCAGTAAAGCTTACTTACATCAACTAATGGTCCTGATGTGTTATCTCTCGAAATCAAACTCTTAGTATTTCGCGTATAACTTGAACACTCAAACGCTAAAACCTCCTCAAGTCGCAAAATGAGAAGATAAAAGACAAGTGGGAGGAATGTTATTCTAAACAGTGTCAATTATGGTACAACACTGTCAGGTATTTATAGTTTTTAGTAAAAACGAAATCATCATTTTAGTTATCCAATCCTCACATAGGGAGTAGTTAGCATTTGTCCAATAGGGAAGCTACAAGTGTGATCCTGGAATATTCTTCCAAAAGCTGATTTGATGTAATATGTTCGGCTCCTTGTGAGCTTCTTAGAGCATCCTCAAGTTTGCCTGTGGACCGTCCTCACAAGATGATGTTGAGTTACTTATTCTGAAACCATTATTTTCAGCTTTATTATCAATCAGCAAATACTAGGTATCCTTACTTAGTGGTAAATTAATATTGGAAATGATATAATATATAAAACACTCTATTTATATTACAAACCTGATTTGTGGCTACTGAGCATAGAGAAACAGGTACTCAGCTTACTGACTACTAAATATGTGACCAGCTTTCTTGTTTTTAACTTTTTATTTCTTCTCTGAATTTGCTGAGTCAGACTACTTGTGATTAAGTTCGGTAAAGTTTATCAATATACTCTGGGTCTCTATCATTAGTCGAGAATCATATATACGAAATAATGTGTTACAGTCTGTGTACCTGTTGGGGTGATCCAGAAAATTTCTCACAAAAGACAAGAAAGTCTCAGGAAACACTAAGAATCATTTTATCCAATCAGCGTTCAATAGAAGTTTTGCTAGCTTTGTCATGAAAATGAAAAGTCACATGTAGAGTTTCTGATTTGGCTGATTACTGCACTGTTACTATGTTTAGTAGCCTTCCAGAATTTTCGGGAAAACCTGAGGACTTCTAAAATATTATGAAAACCCTATATCTTCTGTAGATGAATTAACATTTGGAGTAAAGTACTTCTCGCATATTTCACGCCTTTGATCTTTTGTTCAAGTTGCTGTGTAGAATTAGATTAGGGGTCACAAGAATAGATTAGGGACCGAGTAAAGCGTTCAATTAGCAAGATTTATTAGTATCTGTTATATCCTGTAGAGATTTATGAATGGTAACTTTCGAGAACTATTTATAGATCAATATGATAAGTATATTTCCTGTAAGTAACTTAATTATTCATATTCGTGTCCCTCTTATTATAAGTTTCATTTTGACCTATGAACTATTACTGTACGATTTACCATTCTTGAGTTATCTCTAGTCCATTAATTACTGTTCCCCCTATTCACAGCCACATTTAGCTGAATCTTGTACAAATGTTATTTTCTATTTTATGGTACGATGTGGTCAGTTTGTTTGGTGTATAAACCCACTATATTTGAGAATAATGATTCATATTGGAGAGGCTGTTGTTGGTGTTATAGACTTAAGTGTCTGGGCTACGCAGAAAGCAGAACTGATAAGTACTCAAGACTGCACATACGGTTTTTCGTGTATCATTTCTCTGATCGATAATACACTCCTCTCTAATTGGCAGGGATCATGACGTAATATATTAAACAGGGCATGTACTCATGCACTCGATATAACAGTGTCAAAATCTCAATCACTAGTTACGCTATCATATAATATTGTATGAACGAGAAAATATTTCTCAACATTAGAGCTATACTGATTCAAGGTTTCTATTTGTTTTTTACTATCAATCTTTAAGTCAATAAAAATGTTTTGTTGCTGGTCAATCGAATCCTTCAAAACGATTCATTGTTCCAAAAGTATGATCTGCATCATTGATCATCATCTATAAACCTATTCATTGTTATTCACATATCAAATAGCAAAGAAGAAGAAGAAAACACCACAACCACCACCACTAGCAACAACAACAACGACAACCGCATGACTTACTTTGAAGTCAATTTCTTTGATAATGATATTGTATAATTGAATACCTTGTTACTAGGTAAATAACATGGTTGATAATATAATTGTAATGCTTGATTAGTGTATTGTAATTGAAATAGAATATTAGAATTCCAATAAAATTGATTATAATATAATTTATTAATGATAATTAGATTATTATAATGATAATTAGATTGACATAATTCAATAGGATATTGAATAATTTTCACTGGATATGATGTACTTATATCCATACGTTTATTAATTGCATAGATATTAATGTATAATTTTAATGAATTGTTGCTAGGTAAATGATTTATAATTTGACTTAAGAATGGGGTTAATTTAATCTATGAAGATTGGGTATAAAAAAAAAGAAAAAAAGGAAAAGAATAAGGAAACTAAAAAGGAAATAATATTATCAATGTTTTGTGTGAATTATTTACTTAATTACTTTACTTACGCTTGTTATTCCAAATGAAGCATAGGCCACCGACCAGCATTCTCCAACCTACTATGTCCCGGGCCTTCTTTTCGAGTTCTATCCAACTTTTGTTTATTTTTCTCATGTCTGTTTTCATTTCTCTACGTAATGTGTTCTTTGATCTTCCTCTTCTTCTTTGACCTTCAAGACTTCATATGAGAGCTTGACTTGTGGGAGCAATTGGGTGATTTCCTCAAAGTGTGCCCAATCCACTTCCAGAGCTTCTTCCTGATTTCTTCCTCCACTGGAATCTGGTTTGTTGTCTCCCATAGTAACTTGTTGCTGATAGTGTCTGGCCATCGGATCCGAAGTGTCTTGCGTAGACAACTGTTAATAAACACCTGTATCTTCTGGATGATGGCTTTCGTAGTTCTCCAGGTTTCCACCCCATACAATAGAACTGTCTTGACATTTGTATTGAAAATTCTGATCTTGGTGTTGGTTGACAATTGTTTTGAGTTCCAGATGTTCTTCAGTTGTAGATATGCTGCTCTTGCTTTGCCGATCCACGCCTTCACATTTGCTTCAGATCCACCGTATTCATCAATCATGCTGCCCAGATATGTAAAGGTTTCCACATCCTCCAAAGTTTCTCTGTCAAGTGTTATTTGGTTGGTGCATGTTGTATTGTATCAGAAAGTCTCGCTTTTTCCTTTGTGTATGTTGAAACCTACTGCTGCTGAGGCTACTGCTACACTGGTCTTCTTCTCCTGCATTTGTTGTTGTGTGTGACATAGAAGAGCTAGATCATCTGCAAAGTGTAGATCATTCAGTCACATCCTAGCTGTCCATTGTATCCCGTACTTCCCCCCAGATGTTAACGTCTTCATGATCCAGTCTATCACCAGGAGAAAGAGAAAAGGTGAGAGTAAGCAACCTTGACTGACACCGCTTTTACTCCAAATGAGTTAGTGAGCTGTCCCCCATGCATAATTTTGCAGTTCAATCCATCATAGGAATTCCGTATGATATTGACTATCTTCTCAGTTACGTCTTAGTGTCAAAGAAGCCTCCATAGTGTTGTCCTATCCACGCTATCCAATTCTTTCTCATAGTCAATGAAGTTGAAGTGGAGTGATGAATTCCATTCAATTGATTGTTTCACAATGATACGTAGATTTGCGATGTGATCAGTACAGTATCGATCCTTACGGAATACAGCCTGTTGATCTCGAAGTTGGACGTCAGTGAAGTCCTTCATTCTGTTTTACAATACTCTGTTGAAAACTTTTCCTGGAATTGAGAAAAGAGTGATACCACTGTAGTTATCACACTTTCTAAGATCGCCTTTCTTTGGTATTAGAATCAGAAGTCCTTCTTTCCAGTCTGTTGGTACTTGTTCTTCATACCAAATCTTACTGAAAAGAATGTGGAGTATCTCTAAAGTTGCTGCTACATCTGCTTTCAGTGCCTCTGCCGGGGTGTTGTCTGGTTCCGCTGCTTTGCCGCTCTTGATTTGTCTGATGGCCGTGTTGATCTCTTCAATTGTTGGTGGGCCAACATCGATTGGGAAGTCTGTGGGTGGGTTCAGTGGAGCTGGTCGATTCAAGAGTTCCTTGAAGTGATCTACCCACCTGTTCCGTTGTTCTTCAGTTTTGGTGATTACTTTGCCTTCCTTGCTTCTCACTGGTCGTTCTGGTTTACGGTAATTTCCAGCAAGTTTCTTTGTTGTATCATACAATTGTCTCATGTTTCCTTCTCTTGCAGCCTTTTTCCGCCGTCATTGAATTAATTTTAACAAAACAGTGATGTTATATATTGGTGAAGATTAAATTACGGGTAGCTTCTTTAAACTATTAATGGACTAATATTATATATATATATATATATTCCTATTGTAAGACTTTACAGTAACTATATTATGTATATCTATATTCCCCTTATTATAAGTTTTATTTTGACCTATGGATTATTATTATAAGTTTTAATGTTCTTAAGTTATGTTCTCCCATATTCACAGCCACTTTTTGGCTTGATCTCGTATAAATGTTATTTCCTATTTGATAGTGTGATGTGGCCCGTTATATATATTTATATACAAACCAAGTATATTTGAAATAAGTGATTCGTATAATGGTAGCTGTTATTGGTGTTCTGAACCTAATTGGGAATGGCTATGTGAGAGAAAGGACCACTGAGGAAGCTAGGCTGCTCATACCAGTCGAAAATCATTGATTTGGAACAGTGTTAATGTAATGAACAGAACACCACTGGTTGGGGACAATCGAATGTGTTTAAGCAAACATTACAGACTATCTCGGTAAATTCTGATAACCAAACAATGAATAGTCAATTTGCAAATTAACAACCAATTGTTTCAATCTTCACTGTTTCTTCTCTAATTTCATTGCTCATGCATTTTCCAAACGATTGCACTTCATTTCAGTTCTTTGCTTATCGGTCTTCTGCAAAAATACATTCTGTCTGACCAACACTATATACTACTTATATAGATATAAGTAGACCACACCACATTAAGATTATACAAGTTTCATTTCGATTGGTGAATAAATCACGTCATAACTAGCCGGGCTTAAGTCACATATAATAATAACGTCTGTCTAATTTATTAAAATTCATTATGGGTCAACTAAGAAAGGAACTGTGTAATCGATATAATACAGTGGAAGTTCAAGGACACAAATTCTGTCGAGTACTTGTTTATTTCTAGTTTTAAAATTTCTCAGTTATGAACATTCTAAACTCTACAAAAAATTGTAACCATATATGTGATGGAAGAGAATGACTTTTTGTCGGGCTACTTAATCAGATTCTAATTGAAATCAAAGTTACAACTTGTAAGAGTTAGTACTCATGTACTGTCACTGAAACTTCTTTAACATAATATGAATTCACAAAACAATTTAAATTGTTTTGCAATAATCCATCAGTTATTCATTATATAATCCTTTGAAGATTGATGTAGAAGTAACATTTGGTTACTTCGTTTCAATTCAAGCCTATGTACTATGTAAGTGGTTGTGTAATAGTTTTGATTGAAAATGTTTGAAATTATTTGTGTTGTATAGGAGTTACTGTGACTTATGAATGTACCAAGTACAGATTTACGTACTCACTGTGACTTACACTTTAATTTTATGAGTAGTAACGATGCTATGTATTTACACGGATTAAAGAAGAATAGAGCATGGTTCAAATTTACAGTCAATCCGTTGGAAATCAACTGCTTTTTGTTATAATCCACTGCTTGATTGTATTCTACAATATAATAGTCACAAAATTCTAAAGTTGTATTTTTGTCAAAATAAGGGTCACTTTTTTATACCCATTAGTTATTTTCATGTCAAGTTGTACCTCTGTATTTTATTACGTTTAACCTGTAGGGGCTGGTACTATGTCAAGCACACGTAGGTCATTCTAGCCTCTGGACTGATCAGTTTATTGGTTATTCCCACGCTACATTTTGACTTTGTCAATTATTCACTTATCAGCCTTGACTGTTTTTATGTAATCGTGTGTGTGTGTGCATTTAGGATCTTACTCATCACATTTCTGTAACTTACTTTTGTTTGACTATAAATATCGAATTGGCTGACATTATTTCTCCAATCTGTTTCGCTTCCTTCTCTCCATCTCTATGATTGTTTGTTCTCATTAACGACTGTACAAAACATACGTCTTTAGAAATCCATTTTCGTAATTGACGCAACTCAAATCGATAATTATATACGAGGATTGATGGCATGTGCATGTCAATGATCACACGATCGAATTGAAGTCAGATCTTCGATGGCCGCTTAAAATCCTTTTTGTTTCTTGTTAATCCCTTTTATATTTCATCAGACAATTAACTTGTCCAATTACAAAAAATTATATAAATAAATATATTCTCCTATCATCTATGATCAGATGGAAAAGTTCTCGTGATTTTTAATCGTTTAGTATTTTTCAACGTATTATTCATGTAACATACAACTACATTGCTAAATGGCATTGTTAAGTACTTTGTCTGGAACTTCAATGAATAACCCTTATATTGGTTGAAGCTCAAGATATTATTATCGTTGAGAATGGGATTATTTAGGAAGTAAACTAGACAAACAAACTAAGTCTGTGATTAATCTAAAACGAGTGCTGCCCAGTAAGTGTTCGTTCTTGAAGTTCTGGTGAAAATCAATGCCCAGTGGGATCTACCTATCTTGGGTGTGAAACAGTTATCCACAACAAGTCAAGAGGTTAAGCTCGCATCTCAAGACTGTAGGCCCTAGATTAAATCTAAGGTTAGATCTTGGATAAGCATTACTAGAAACAACATAGTTGTTCAATGCTTCCTGATTTTCAGTAGTGATATGACCATGATTAGTTTGTGATTTAAACTTTGGAAATTCTACTATCTCCACGATCTCTATACTAAAGTAGTTTTTCCTTTTGAGACTAGTCAGAATCTATTTCAATCAAATTTTATCTAAATTTAATGTAAAATGATTCGTCATTTGCCCTTTCTTACCTTCATGCTTGAACCTAATTTTTCACATTCATGTGTGTTGATTCAAAAACAGAAGAAATATCTTGCGTAAGAAACATAACTCTATTGCAATCATTAGTCTTTTATTCTAGTTTAAATTATTACTGTTTTGTGCTTTCACTGAAAAAGATGAATATAAACAATATAAACAATCAAATTCACTTGGTGATGTTTGTTTAAATCTTCCCATTGATGTTTAGGACTACAATTGATCAGTCTCTTATTGGAATATGTGCATACTGTGAGTATTGCCTCGATATTGCCTTAATTCACAAGCATTGTAAGCAAAGATGAATAGTGGCTAGCAGTGGAATCCAGGACGCGCGTTTCGTTTTATTTGAGACTCGTCAGCTGGATGTACCTTCATATCAAAGTTGATGATCACCCTGGGACTCGAACCCAGTACTGTTCGCTTCACCCCATTGTACAAGCAAGTGGCTATCAGGACTCAGCTAAAGAGTGAATAATGTGATGGCGTTTGAAGCGAACGATACGGAGTTCGGGTTCCGGAGTAAACATCAACTTTGAGATGCAGGTACATCCATCTGACGAGTCCTAAATAGGACGAAACGCAGGTCCTGGATTCCACTGCTAGTCTTTGTACATATTTGTTTATAATATAAACAATTATCTAATGAAGTAAAGTTTGAATGAAAATGTTTTTATCAAATTGAATACTTACTCTTATCATTGACTTTGTGCTGCATTTATATACATAATTGTCAATTAATTTTGGTCTTAGATAATCAGTATCTTGAAAGATTTTTGGTCGTTCAAACTTTTCGTTTGTATAATAATTGAAAAGTTGATTTAATCTTGACATGGCTGTACATTCATAATAAAGATTTTCAACTGCATTTATAACTACACAATAATTAATTTGCATTGAATTATGAATTACTCCTTTCCATGATATATCTAATGTATCACTGTAAAAAAAAAGGAAAAAGAAAATACGTTACAATTATTTGGAGATATTTTGATTACTACTTATTAAAGTTATTAAGTAGTCTAAAATATTACTTAAAATATTTTCATATTAGTGTAGAAAGCAGATTATATTCTCCATGGTGGATTAAAATAAATATTATTTAACATTTATCACTTCATGCAATTTCGGGTACATGGATATATCTAAATACTTTCGATAAACATACTGCATTAATAAGATGAGACCGAAGATTCAGGTGAAAACATTTGGTCGGATCGTTTGGTTTCAAAGCTTTCTTTGTTCATTAAGAAAACATTGTCAATACCTGCACTCAGAACAAAGAAATATAATTTCGTTGAGTGCATGTATGCAATTTTATGTAATTCCGTCTAACATCTTTGGGCGAGACTATAATTTATGGACGATCCAATCAAAAGCGTTTGATGGGTTTCAAGATCTGTATCTGATACTTATGTATTGTCGGTTCACAATGGATTTTAGAGAGGACAATTAAGCGGATAAAACAAATGTGACTACTAAGAATTTCTTTTATTTTTAATTGCGGTAATCAAATGACTTGTAGACCTTGTGCAGACTACCGTGATATTGTCCTTCGATGTAATATATCTTGGAGGAAGATATCTTCTAGAATAGGAACTTTTTTCGTTCGTTCCAGATTGAGATTAAGGCAAATTATAATATTTGCCTCGAACTGCATAATAAAAGCATCATTAAAATTGGCTGCAATAATCGCAGATGTTACTGAATCTTTGGCTGTTCAGTGGTATGAGTATTGTAGGGATAGATGTGTAATAAAAAAGACAAACTTACACAAACGAAGTACACACAAACAATACTGAAGCTGTGAGTTAGAGGCTGAGAGAGTTTTTGTCACCTTATCATGGCTCCAGAAACCGACTGTTATGGAGCCATATAGATGAGTTCTTCTACCTTATGCTTTACGATTTTAGAACCTCTGAATCTCTTCCGAACGTTGATAAGGTTTCGGACCATGTAAAAGAATTGTATCTACTCTAATTCTTTGTTTTTCTATAATATATTTTTAATCCTTACTGACTGTTTACTGATTGAATGATGTCTATTAAGGTCACTTAAGATTCGTTCAAAGGTCGTCCATAAATTATAGTCTATCCACATCTTTGATCTTTGAGTTTTCTCTTTTTAAACCTATGAGTAACATTATCTTACTTAATTCACTTAATAGCGAAATCCCAGTTGTTCAGCTTGCCATCCATTGGGATACCATGCATAAATATTACTGTTAGTAGTTTATCACGGACTCATCTTTGATTTGTACTATTTTAAATGACAATCTTTAAAAATAAATTAGATTAGGTATAAGCGTTTAACTTAATTTCTCTACAGTATCAGTTATATAAATTCAGCTGACAATTTTCTGATATGATGGTGATCAAATGAATTTAGTATGAGACTTCTCACCTGTAAGCGTTCACTACTCATCTAGGAATCAAAACCAAGACCTTTAGACCCTAACGGAACTCTTAAAATTCAGACCAATGAGTTGACATCAAATAGTTTACATTCCAAACTTCAATCAATTTGCAATACTATCTAATAGAAGTCACCATTCGGTTTCATAAAGTCATGTTAATTCAAGCGATCAACATCCAAGTTCGTACTTATATCTTTTTAATTATCAGAAGGGGTTTTGTGGAGATTTAGTATTTTTCATAGTAGAAATCATGAGTCAATTGAAGCTAGACCACTATGGAAAACCTGGTAACACTGAAGTTATACATTAACACCATTGGATGTCAGCTCAGTGGTCTATCGGTTAATGGCCTCGGCTCGAGACTGATAGGTCCTGGGTTCGAATCTCGTGAGAGCGGGTTCGTGGATGCGCACTGCTGAGGAGTCCCATAATAGGACGAAACGGCCGTCCAGTGTTTCCAGGTTTTCCATGGTGGTCTAGCTTCAATTGACTCACGCTTTCAACAATGATAAATACTAAATCTCCACAAAACCCCTTCTATAATTAATATAATAATATGCTCACTAGTGATTTCGAGAAGTATATCTAGGAGCTCTAGTGAGAAGCAGTGACCAGTGGAGTTCAAAACCACGTCTGTTGTGAGATAGGAACTCACTGAAGACAATTGGTGAATGGTTGCTCAACTTCGTGGATCAGTTGAAGTTAGACATTAACACCGTTGGATGCCAGCTCAGTGGTCTATCGGTTAAGGGCTTCGGCTCGAGACTGGTAGGTCCTGGGTTCGAATCTCGCTCGCGAGAGCAGGTTCGTGGATGCGCACTGCTGAGGAGTCCCATAATAGGACGAAACGGCCGTCCAGTGTTTCCAGGTTTTCCATGGTGGTCTAGCTTCAATTGACTCACGCTTTCAACAATGATAAATACTAAATCTCCACAAAACCCCTTCTATAATTAATATAATAATATGCTCACTAGTGATTTCGAGAAGTATATCTAGGAGCTCTAGTGAGAAGCAGTGACCAGTGGAGTTCAAAACCACGTCTGTTGTGAGATAGGAACTCACTGAAGACAATTGGTGAATGGTTGCTCAACTTCGTGGATCAGTTGAAGTTAGACATTAACACCGTTGGATGCCAGCTCAGTGGTCTATCGGTTAAGGGCTTCGGCTCGAGACTGGTAGGTCCTGGGTTCGAATCTCGCTCGCGAGAGCAGGTTCGTGGATGCGCACTGCTGAGGAGTCCCATAATAGGACGAAACGGCCGTCTAGTGTTTCCAGGTTTTCCGTGGTGGTCTAGCTTTAATTGACTCATGCTTTCTATTATATCTTTTTGTTAAAGACTTGATGTTTTGTTTAACATGACCTAAATAAATATGAATCATACATTTTTGAGGAATTCATTCATATATATGACTGAATTTACAAACTGTATTATAAATATTTTTGGAATTATTAATGTTTATAAAATATCGTGATCATTTTCATAGAAAGCATCAGTTCACCAACGTTGACATATATAACTAATGTTAAATGTCATATGGCATATCAATTATTAGACATTATCTCTAACCAATCTCTTCCAGGTAATCGAACATTTATCTGAATATAACAGAGAAAGCTGTGAATATGCTTCTGCAAAAAAAGTTGTTTAGTCTGTACGGGAATGACAATTCAAATATTAATAAATAAGAAAATATTATTCTAGTTCTTAAGACTTTCAAACCAATTGATGTGAAATACTAAGAATAGTATTAAAACTTGACTTTATTTTGAGATCTTCTACAATAATCAATTAAAAGGGTAAAGGTTTAATCAAAGTTCAATGCTAATGTATATGCATATATGAATTATATTAGTATATTAACTGTTCTTATAGGGTCGTTATTATTCGCTTATTAACCTTGACACTACCTTGTTATATGAGCGCATGTGTATGTACCCTTCGTATCTTATTCATCATATGTCTGTCATTCATTTTTGTCTGATTATAAATATTGAGTAATGCTTGGTCATAGCGAGTTGGCTTCCCCGCCAATCTCCAATACGCATTATTTTCGTTTCGCTCTCGAGTTGGCTTACAAGCCATCTCCACTATGCGTCATCTTTGCTTCGCTAGCTTACACTTGCTCATGTGCCCACATCTTTCTCATCTGCATCATTCATCAATAAAAATGTAGTTGCCGCTTCCTTTTGCCTTCTGATTTTACGCACCGTTAAGATTGGTATAATAACGGTTATCGAAGTGAACTATCAATGAAGCACGGCACTACAGCTTCACTTTAGATGATATTGTGATAGCTTTTATACATTCATTTTTTGATATTATTATTTTATCAGCATATGGTTGTAGAGATTGTTGAGTCTAAATCGATATAATAAATCAATGAATGTTAGACTACCATTGAAAACCTAGAAGCAGTGGACGACCGTCTCACCCTGGTATGGGAATCATCAGCGGTGCGCATCTACGATCCCGCACTAAAGGGAGTAGAACCCAGGACCTTTGATCTCGCGCAAGTGCTTAACCTATAGGTTTTCAATGATTGTCAAATATCCACCCATTCATGATATCAATTTAAACTCAACAATCTCCACAAACTTATACTGTTAATTATCATGTGCTCACTAGTGTTTAGCTCGGAGATGAATTTGATGGAGTTATAGTTAGAAGCCGTGACTAGTGGAGTTGAACCGTGTCTGTTGTGAGGCAGTTACTCACTGAAGACAATGGTGGACGTTCACGCAATATTGTGGGTTGGTTGTAGTTAGACATTAACACCGTTTGGTCCCAAGTCATTGGTCTAGTGGTTAAGCGTTTGCTGGAGAGATCGAAGGTCCTAGGTTTGAGCTCCTTTGGTGTGTGATCGTGAATGCGGACTCCCAAGGAGTTCCATATTAGGACAAAACGGTCATCTATTGTTTCTAGGTTTCCAATGGTGGTCTAACATTTATCGATTCATGATATCAATTACTATTTTAATTTAAAAGTAATATACATTTTATTTGTGAAAAAAAACTAATAAATGTACTGTCTTTTGGTAAAGTATCAATATAGATAATATTTCCCAAAGGCCATCTCCTTAAAGTTAAGATGCCAAATAAATGGGTATGTTTGAAACATATTTTAAATGTCTAAACAATATTGAACTCCATATTTTTTCGAAAATGGAATATGAATTGGAATGTTTGGAATTTTAAACCATTATCTAATATCAATTTATACATAATTAGCATCCAACAAACAATCTTTATGCACAGTCATAAACTTGATTTGGTAGGTAAAATAGTAGTAAACTATATTGAGGTCTGAATCATAGATTGATTTTAGTTCGGTAAATTGTAAAAATGAGGAAGCATTGAACAGATACCTCATCAAAGTATTGAACATATCAATGGCAACATGCATCCATAATCCCACTGAGGTCCATATCTAGTAGTGAGAGATCAATTTTCAGGCTATTAAACAGGCATCTAGCGGTTAATAAATCTAACATTAGTCAGTTCGTAATATCATTCGATCTTTCACCAATTCAAATGGTCATTTAACGAACTAACTCTCTTATACTCAATCATGGTTGAATTATCCTGTCCACATCTTTCCACTAGGACTTTTTACAATAACCTCTTAAAATTTCCTACCAGTAAGGAAATGACATATATGGACTAAAAGACGGACAGCAGTGATCAGCAGTGATTATTTAAGCAAAACACAACTCTTTGTCCACATTTTTAACCAACTATAAATTACACTTTAGTTAATAGTTGCTATTAAACACCTTTCATGATAAAAATAACCCTCATCTATTGCCAGTTACAGACATTCTCTTATGTTGAAAAGTATACACTTTACGATCTTAAGTAGTCAATTATGTTTTTTTTTCCTCGTATTACACATAATTATTGGCATCATTAGTAAGTATGTGAAATTTACATCATAGTGATACTTTTTTCCGTCATACTATCTATACATATATATATAATTGGATTAATGTCAGCCAAATCCCATATGGATTCAATTGAGGTAAGTTAACTTGTATCAATTTACCAATGGCTGTTTTGTTAAATTTATATAGATATAAAATCAGTCAGTCATAGTCAGAGTAAAACCTGACATAAATATGCGGTGGATCAGGTTACCATACAACAATAGGACGACTAGATAAATTTTAAAAGGTAACTACTAATATGACGATTGATTCTCAAATATGTTATCCAACGTCTCCAACCACTTATAGTGGTTATCGCTTTGACCCCAATCAGGTAGTCTATATCTACCGACATGGATCATACTAACAGTTAATAAGCTTATGTATTATTATCATATTTTAATTTAGGTGCTTCGAGTTTTCTTTCAACCAATCGCAAATTCATCTAGCAACAAGCATAAATAAAAATATCCCATAATAATCATTATCATTATTATTATCATTAAAAAATCTTACTTATGAGAAGAATTAATGAACATACTTTGTATTTTGTACTAAACATACAGATATCGTTGAAGTTTGATCTAATTCTGGATAACCATCTAATGCATGTTTCGGTGAACGACGTGTACTAAAACGTATATTATATGTATCACCAATATTACCATATAAACGTACATTTAAACTATCTGTTTTATATTTAATTTGTGTAAAATGTAATCGTGAACGTGTTAAACCTAAAATGGTATCACCTTGATTCATTAAAGTAAAATTTGGTAGGTTTGTTTCACTTGGAAATGGTTCTATACGAATTTTTTGTTGTGACCAATTTACAGAATCTGTAGGGTAAAATAAAAAATAAACATAATCATATATTAAACCGAGAAATAAAGACAGACATGAGAAGAATGAACAAAAAAAACTGGATAGAACTAGAATAAAAGGTCCAGGACAGAGTGGGTTGGAGAATGCTGGTCGGCGAGCCAATGCTCCATTGGGGGTAACAGGCGTAAGTAAGTAAGTAAGTAATAATGAGATCATATATATATATATACGTACTTATTATTTAAAATCAATGTAACAAAAAGTTTCACATGGGGTCAAAATTATAGAATAGATGGATTATAGATAGTGGTAGAATCTGCGATATACGTTTTGACCGATTAAGGACTACTCAGACGAAGGTACCTTCTACATCTTTGTGATGATATTCACATTCAGGATCAAGCCGATTAACTTGCGCTTCAAACGAAAACGCTTTATTTACTGAGCTGTTAAATCTTGGTAACCACTAAATTGTTCAATGTGTACGATGTTTATATACAGCTTCAAGTAAGACGAAACGCGTTTTCTGAATTCCACTGCTAGCTATTATCATCTCAGCTTGTAATGCTTGTGAATTAACTGCAATAACGAGGCAATCCGCTCAGGATGTACACATCACGCTACTGAATACGGAGTAATACTAAATTGTTGCTTCATGTTTTGAGTTTAATACATTTTAATGGCATAAAATATATGACTTCGTGAAGGATCAGATCATAATGAATTTTCAGTTCATATGATGATCTTGAACTGAATTAAAATACAATATTCCAACCAATCACTTCATGATATCTTTGTTCTTTTTTGAATAACTTTAATAAATAATTCATTTGACTGTAATCAACATTTTAAGAAATTTTACACTTCACTTATATCCATTGTCATTTATTTCAAAGATTTTACTTTTGTTTATGCAAATATATTAAGGGTGGATTTGATGTACCTCCTTTAGCAGAACTTTTTATAATTACTTACTTTGAATGGTGGATAGAAATCAGTTGTGGAGAGATGTTTTCAGCTTTTGTACAACTCAAGAAGTAATGACTTGATCATACTATAATTCTGATTCTGTTATAATTTGTGGCCTTGTGCCTTATTAATTTATATAAAGTAATGATACTGGCAATTAGAGAACAATTATGTATCGACGGGACAAATGACGCATAAAACCCATACGAGCAGTCTAGAGTCCTCATCGGTTCTTCTTCCTACCTAGCTCTGTCTGTCCAGTTCAGAAACATCAATCTCAGCCTTCACGATAATGAATATGTATTTCAAACATACTGGGTTTATATACGAACCAAACAGACCACATCATAGCATTAAATAGAAAATAAAATTTGTACGAGATCTAGTCAAATGTATCTGTGAATATGGGAGATTATAGTTAATAGAGTGGACATAACTCAAGAATGATAAATCGTATAATAATAGTTTATGGGTCAAAATAAAGCTTATAATGGAAGGATCATGAATATGCATAGTTTAGTTACTTAACAATTATACAATAAAATCTATGTATCATATTATTTCATAGATGTATCGCAATAGTTACCATTCATTATTCTCGTCGGGATATATCAGATTCAATAACCAAACTCATAAAACACTTTGGAACATTACAATTAATCATAAACATCAAACCAATTAGATAAGCAATCATCTCAATGGAAATATCAACATCGGTATACTCTCAGTATGGGTTTGTAGAGGTTATTAAGTTTTGATTGAGATCATTAATCGATCAATGTTAGATCTCTACTGAAAACCTGTGAGCACTGGATGGCCATTTTGAGTTACTATGGGATACCTGAACAATGTGCATCCACTATTCCTCATATTCAATTGACAAGTTCTTAATAGTACAACACGCACCTACTAAATACTGGTTTTCCAGATTATCCTAGAGTCAAAATATTAAATACTGTAATAAGCCATTTATTTATACATTATTAAAGTGTAAAAATAATTTCTTAACAGGCTTTTATTTGAAACACCTATTCTGTCCCTAATCAATGTGTTGTCTATTCTTATTATCCTCTTTATACTTCCATATTACTAACAGTCGTACATCTAATTTTAACTGAACTCAATGTTTTTTTAATGAATTTTTGAACAGTAAATACAAAGATTTCAAAGTTGAAATCATGAGTCAATTGAAGCTAGACCACCATCGAAAACCTGGAAGCACTGGACGGCCGTTTCGTCCTATTATGGGACTCCTGGGTCCTGGGTTCGAATCTCGCGAGTGTGGGATCGTGGGTGCGCACTGCTGAGGAGTCCCATAATAGGACGAAACGGCCGTCCAGTGCTTCCAGGTTTTCGATGGTGGTCTAGCTTCAATTGACTCATGATTTCAACTTTGAAATATACTGAAATCTCCACAAATCCCCTTCTGAAATACAAAGATGTCATCATTGATCTTATAGCAACTCACGTACCATTGAGTCTGTTCACATTTAATTTGGTTAAGCCCTTTAGTTAACTTATTTAACGGACAGAGGCATTCGTACAATAACAATCTATCTATACTATTGTACTTTTATTGTGTACACTTGAGCACTGTTTACTGCTTACGCATATATTCATTTTGCTAGCCTTAATATTAGTCGTTTAATTGATTCGATGATTTATTCATTTCACTATGTATATATATGTACATTTTAATCCTGCTCACTGACTCGTTGATTCGCGCACTCGTTTGTTGACTCGATCGCTTGCTTGCTCGCTCACTCTCTTGCCTTAAGTTACTACTCTTTCATGCTTGATTAACGTGTCTGTAATTTTGGATATCTGTGCGTGGTTCAATGATACACTCAATCATTACTTTGTATTCACCTCCTGATTTATACACCGTTGAGGCGTTATCGAGTAACGGTTATGAGGACGAACAATATACGAAGTTTAAGGATAATATCGAATATTGACCACTTCATTCCTCATGATTCTTCCTTTTTAAGATAAATAATCATTTCTTCATTAATTAATCTGTACAATTGTGAATTTTTTATACAAATTAATTGTTTGATTAGAATCTATTCGATTGTCATGTTTTAATTATTAATTACAATCTATAGATTAATAAAATAATCTTTTTGATTTCATTGAAATCATCTAAATTAAATCATCATTGAAATAATAATCTAACTTAGATTGAATTCATGATATAATTAAAGCTAGACCACCATGAAAAACCTGGAAGCACTGGACGGCTGTTTCGTTTTGTTATGAAACTCATCAGCACTGTGCATCCACATTCCCGCCTCGTATTATTCGAACAGATGATCTATCAGTATCGCATGCGGGTGCTTAACCTCTAGACTAATAAACCGGCATGTCTAACTCCAACCAATCCATGAACTTGAGAAACCATCGCAAGGCGGGATGGTGGATGCGAACTGCTGAAAAGTCCCACAATAGGACGAAACGACTGTCCAGTGCTTCCTGGTTGTCTAGCTTCAATTGACTCATGATCTCAACTATACAAAATTACTAAAATCTTCACAAAAATCCTTTTAATAACTTAAATTAATTTGTAATGTCAGTCAAAAGGAACAATCACCACGATTCCATACTGAATATAATCTTTTTTTTTAATTGTACAATGGAATAATTATGGAATTTTAATTTATCTGTAAAAGCTTACCGTTAAATAAATCAAATATAAAAAGGTATTAATGTGTTTTTTTTCACTAAAGTTAGTGATTATAAATTAAGATTTTTTTGGGTTTAGAAAATAAATTCATGAATTTTTAGAACTTTTTCTAAAGGGTTTCTTTTTAGGCTTTATTCATAATAGATTAATCTCATTCTGAGTACTATTGAAAACCAAAATGTATTAGATAGATAGGCGGCCTGCTTGAACATTTGGGCTAACTGTTCTTGTCATCTAGATATTTCAACAACTTATTTAATTTTGTTTTTTTTTAAAAATACATTATTATGTCTATTGGTCGCATAACCTATTCAGTTGATAAGTAAGAATGAATAGTGGCTAGCAGTGGAATACAGTTTGATACGCATTTCGTCCTATTTAACACTTTTCAAATGGATGTACCTGCATTTCATAGTTGATGTTCACTCTGAGACTCGAAATCAGTACCCTCGCTTCAAACGCCATCGCATTATCCACTTAGCTACTGAATGAGTCTCTACAAAGTGTACAACTTTCCGTTGTATAAGTTACAAAAGGTTTAATCAGTGATATCGTGGTTACTGGCAATATACAACAAAAAGAATGTACATTATTTAGATGTCAATTGATTGGACTGCTAACTTCTAATTGGTGATTACTAAATATTTATCGTCAAGATCGACCAAGAAGTAAGAGACGGAAATCTATTGAAATACTTTGTGCTGAAAATTCTTTATTGTACTAAAAATATTTTAAATAAAACTAACAATGACAATAAAAATAACTGTGTTTTTTTTTCTCCTGATATGAAACTTCTCAGTAATGCTGTTATATCCCCTGGTGAATTATGAATGGTAACTCTAAGGTCTATTTATCGACCAATGTATTATGCCTATTTCTTATTGTACAGTTGTTACGTAACTAAACTATTCATATTCGTATTTCTCTTATCATGAGCTTTATTTTGATCTTTGATTTATTATCATACGATTCTTGAGTTATAATCAGTTATTGATTACTTTAGTTTGTATAAAAACCCATTATGTTTGTAAATAATGATTTATACCACTGAGGCTGTTATTGGTGTTTTGGACTTAATTGGCTGGGCTAGGCAGATCGTAGGACCGGTTAACAATCTAGGCTGCTCGTACGGGTTTCGTGTCACTGTTCAACCGATAGTTCGCTGCGCCCTGTTTGACGGTTCTATCGAGTCACATATCAACTAGCCATCCACTCGGCCACAAGCATAACAAGTGCACACCTTGAAATTCCAGTGATTAAGAGTTCATTGTTAGACTTGAAGGTTTTAAATTTTATTCTAGGCAAATTTATAAGCAAGCATTGTTAAATAGTCTTATATCAGAACCCTAGTTTTCATTG